TATTGGCAAATCTTGCTATTTATTCCAGGGCCAGTGTTTTTCTGTTTAATGATTTGCTTTGTTGGCATCTAAGTTTATTTACTTGCATGCCATGTGCAGTTTACATCTTCCTTACACTCTCCCAGATAAGTTCCAATTATAATATTTGACGTCTAGCTAAGAGGGTCCATCTCTTCTCACCTCTTTCCTAAGTCAGTATATTCAGCAAACATTTATTTACTGAGCCCTTACTGTGGGCAAAAATTGTACTGGGTAATTGGGGAGAAAATTCACTTATTGAATAGATGTCTACTGAGCACAATCTAATGAATCATTACAGTATGGCCTCATTGTTTTGAGTTGTATTTGTAACTCTTTTACACCATTCATATCTCAATGTAATTATAAAACCCAGAATACTATCAAAGATAATTTTGTAGTTATCTGCCATTTAAAAGTATCCAGTATTACTGTTTGCATCCCATTAATACAAATAATGAAAAAATGTTTTAATCTGTAATAAACTGATTTATTGTCCAGTGACTATAATATACTAGAGTCATATTAAACTGTTAACTCTGCCTCCTCAAACACATATTAGGAAATAATCCCCAAAATAAGTATTTAACTTTGTAATAGATATAAAGGAGACTCTGGGTGCTATAATTAGATTATTTTGAGGCAGACAGAGAACTGTTATCCCAGCTGATTTAGTATGTTCTCTAATTGAGAAAATGTTCATCAGATTATACTTTTTAGTGATTTACATGTACATTTTATAGGGGCATGTTCTGTGTATAGTGAATAAATAAATTTTATAGTATCACCAAAAAAGGTCCTTTTTTTTTTAAAGATTTTATTTATTTATTTGACAGACAGAGATCACAAGTAGGCAGAGAGGCAGGCAGAGAGAGAGGGGAAGCAGGCTTCCCAACGAGCAGAGAGCCCAATGCAGGGCTCAATCCCAGGACCCTGGGATCATGACCTGAGCCAAAGGTAGAGGCTTTAACACAGTAAGCCACTCAGGCACCCCATAAAAAAAAGATAGGCCCTTTTGCTGCAACTACCACCAGATACCTTGTAGTTTCACATATTCTGGTAGTTGTTTGAAATGGTAGCAAGGGTAGTCTCAATAAATGTGAATGTCTGAAGTTACCATAATTCTGCTAATAAACACAAATCTCTAAAGTTACAGAAACTTTATGAAAAGTGCCATGACATACAAACAGGACTAATTTTGCCCTCAGCCAAATTCTGAAGGAGCCAAAGTTTATCTGCCTGTATTGCACCATTTTTGCCAAGCTTCCATCCTTCCAAGGCCTGATGACCTGTCAGCCCTTCCCAGGCCCTTATGTTTCGTACCCAAAGGTTCATAGACTCATCTCAGCAGTCACCTGATCCCTGATAAGACTGCAATTTAAAATAAACTCAGTTTTAGTCTTTTCCAGCACCAATGATTGGAAACCCCATTAAATCTCAAACTTTGAAGATGCAGATGAAGACAATTATAATACTTAAATATGGAAACCCAGGAAAGTGTTAGAATGTATGTCTGGGGAAATTTCCAGTAAGGTCTCGCTTGCTGGTTATCTCTACAGGTTTGATTACTTCCTCTGGCTACTAAGGGGGCAAATCTGACTAAGGTTATTGCCAAAACAGTGACCTTTTTGATTTCTAAAAATATGCTCCACAATGCTGTTATATATTTGTAGATTGCCATGATGTTTTCAGTTTACATAAAAAATACCTTTTGAATTTGTGAAAGCTCACACTTGAATACTTCTTTGGCAGGACATGTAGATATTTGAATAACCAAACATGAACTGGCATGCCCTTGACCCTATTTTTACTTTATTTTCTGCAGAGATCATCATTCTAATGCTTTCCTCAAGGGAGGAACATACATCCTCAAGATGGGAAGTAATAGCACAAACAGTATAAGAACAAAGTGCACTGATCTTCAGGTGTCATTTCAGTACTCTCTCTATGCAACCACCTACATCCTCATATTCATCCCTGGTTTTCTGGCCAACATTGCAGCCTTGTGGGTTCTGTGCCACTTCATCAGGAAGAAAAATAAAGCCATCATTTTCATGATCAACCTCTCTGTGGTTGACCTTGCTCATGTGCTGTCCTTACCCCTCCAGATTTACTATTACATCAGCCAACACTGGCCCTTCCAGAAGGCCCTTTGCCTGCTGTGCTTCTACCTGAAGTATCTCAACATGTATGCAAGCATTTGTTTCCTGACGTGCATCAGCCTTCAGAGATGTTTCTTTCCCCTAAAGCCCTTTAGGGCCAGAAACTGTAAGTGTAGGTATGATGTGGGCATCAGTGCTGCCATCTGGATCATTGTGGGGACTGAGTGTTTGTCACTTCCAATTCTGAGAAGTCCTGGTTTAACCAACAACACTGAATCTTGCTTTGCCAATTTAGGGTTTCAACACATTAGCATGGCTTCCTCCATTAGCATAACTGTAGCGGAACTTGGAGGTTTTCTTTTACCTGTTGTAATTATTACTTATTGCACATGGAAAATGAGAAAATCTTTACAAGAATTCCGAGCTCCCCCTCAGAATACCAAAGAGAGAAAAAAGGCTTTGTGGATGGTCCTTATGTGCGCAGTGGTGTTCATTGTGTGATTCACTCCTTACCACTTCAACTTTCCATTCTTTATGATGGTGAAACAACATGTCTTTTCAAACTGTTCCTTTATTAGGAGTTCCCTATATTTTCACATCATTTCTCTATGTCTTGCAAATCTGAATTGCTGCCTTGATCCCATTGTATATTATTTTATGACTTCAGAATTCCGTGATAGGTTTTTGGAACACAGTGGTTTGGCTCTTCAGTCATGTGTGAGATGCAAAGACAATGCTTTAGAAATTTATTACAGGAAAGAGGATCTTCAAACTATCTCTCTTGAAATTTTGAATGATTCAAAGACATTGTAATCAAGTTACTGGTTAGAATAATCTGTGTTCTCTATCAGTTTAGCCATGACACCTTGAAGATTTTTCTTAAAAAATAAATGGTGTTTTGAGTGCCTTAACAAAACATGGCCTCCTTCCTTTCAACCTCAAAATGATCCTTCTGAAGGAATTATTCATGACTGTATTTTCCATCCAAAGGGAAACATACTGTTCTATGGAGCATATAATAAAATATCTTTCTTTACAGAAAGTAATGAGCAACAGAATAAATTGGACACCTGTTCCTCAGCAATGGGTCCAAAGTTTTCACTTCTTCCTGCAAGAAAAAAAGGTAATTGAAAATAAGTAGACATAAGTGAATTATCCAAACATTCAAAAATGTATAGGAGAGTATGATCCTACCTTTATTTAGAAAATTTACCTGAGTAAAGTAAACTAAAGAGGAAAGTTTTTAATATTAATATGAGTTGTGGGAATTAATATGAGTATAACTTGGAATATCTATGAGCATTTCCTTTTGTCCCCTTGGGGAAACAAACAATTCAATTCATCCCAAATATCTCAAAGTATCAGATTCACACACAGCACATACATCTTACACACAGAAGACAATAGTGTTCTAACATTTCATAAACTTCAGAGTTTCAAGCTTTGTAATGAAAGCTCTTTGTTTGAAAGTCTAAGAGAGTGTGTGATATGATGCTTACTTTTATATATTGGTACTCATTCAGAGAATTTTTTTATATTTGTATTAAAATCAATTGTACAATGATATTTCTACATTAATTCCTCTATATACAACTGCAGTCACAACTTTGCTTGATATATTTTAAATAATGAGTTAATAAAGTATCATACATATGTAGTTTTCAGTTAGATCTCATTTCTCACAAGTAAAGACATATATAAAGAGAATATTGGTGGATTGAATATTATTATAAATGCATAATGAGAAATTGCAATTTTTAAAAAATATTTGTGGTGAAATAATTTTGTAATACAAATCACTACCATTGAAAAATTCAAAACTTAAAAATTCATATGTTGGTTTTCATTAAAATGGTATTTTATAAAGCAGTACTCAGGTTTATAAAATTATAAACTTACTTTCTTATCTTTATAAGGTTGGAAACTCACAAACTATTTTATCTGTGTGATTTTTTTTTGCAGTAGTAGCAATTGCTTATTAGAACAGAAACAGATAATAACATTTGTTACAGTGTTGAGAAAAATAGAGTAAAACCTAATGTATAAACTTGTTAAAACACTATGTTGTACACATGAACGTAATGAAACATTGTGTGTGAACTACACTCGAATTAAAAATAATTTAAGAAAGAGAGGAAAGTGCTTCTTGGCATTGGAAGATTGCAGCAGAGTAGGAGGACCCTAGGCATGTCTTGTCTCACAAACACAGCTAAACAACTATCAAATCAATATAAATACCCCAGAAACTGACCTGAAGACTGAAAAAAACAAACCCCACAACTGAAGGAAGAGAAAAGGCCACATCAAAGAAGGTAAAAGTACGGAGATGTGGTTTAAGGGAGGAAGGGATTGCAGCCCCTGATGATGGAAGGGAACCATGGTCATGGAGAAGGTCAAGAGAGGACCACACTGGGGAACACACAAGGAGAATGTTTCCCAAAAGCCATTGACTTGGAAAAAAAAAAAAGAGGGGCTGAATTTTGTGGGTTCTTGAAAACTGTGCAGCTTAAACCTGGAGTTTTAAAGGTCAGAGGGCTTGGCTGGAATAAAACCCCAAGGGTGTTATGCTACTCCTGGAGAGAAGGCAGGCAAAAAACCTGGGGGCAGATGGCATGGAAACAAAGATCTGAAGAACTTCTGGGACACACAGAAGGGAGATTATTCACTCTTCTTAGAACACAACCCTGAGAGGCAACATTCATGGAGACACATCTCCTGGAACAAAAGAGCTGACCAGTTACATATAATAATAAAGGGGACAATCCAACAAGAAGATCTAACAATTATAAATATTTATTCACCCAACATGGAAGCACCCAAAACAATTCATAAAAAAAAAAAGGATGTGATTGATCGTAACACAATAATTAGTCGCCGAGTTTAACACCCCACTTACATCAATGGACAGATCATCAAAACAGAAAATAAAGAAGGAAACAGTGGCTCTGGATGACAAACTGGACCAATAATGAAGCAAAAAAAAGGGAAAGTAAAGCATTAATACCATTTACAATTGAACCAGAACCAAAACAGTACCTAGGAGGAAATCTAACCAAAGAAGTAAAAGGCCTGTTTGCTGGAAACCGTTAAACACTAATGAAAGAAATTGATGATCGTACAAATAAATGGAAAGATATTACATGCTTATGGATTAGAAGAATAAATACTGTTAAAATGTCTCTGATACTCAAAGCAATCTACGTATTTAATGTAATCCCTATCAAAATACCCCCAGCATTTTCCACATAACTAGAACAAACAATTCTAAAATTTGTATGAAACACAAAGGACCCCAAATAGCCAAAGCAACTTTGAAAAAGAAGAACAATGCTGGAGGTATCACAATTCTGGACTTAAAGTGATATTATAAAGATGTAGTGATCAAAACGGTATGGTACTGGCATAAAAATAAACATAAAGATCAACAGAACAGAATAGAGGACCAGAGATGAACCCACAACTATATGGTCAATTAATCTTTGACAAAGCAGGAAAGTATATCCGATGGGAAAGACAGTCTCTTCAACAAGCTGTGCTGGGAAAACTAGAAAGCAACAATGCAAAAGAAGGAAAGTAGACCACTATTTTATATGATATACAAAAATAAATTCAAAATGGATTAAAGACCTAAATGTCAGACCTGAAACCATAAAAATCCCAGCAGAGAAATTTAGTAACTTCTTTGGCATCAGTCATAGAAACTTCTTTCTAGATAGGTCTCCTGAGTCAAGGGAAACAAAAACAAAATGAAAGATTGGGATCCCCTAAAAAAGAAACAAACAACCAAATTTCTGCATGAAAAAGGAAACAACAAAACTATACAGCAACCTACAGAATGGGAGAAAATATTTGCAAATTAATACCCAATAAAGGGATAGTATACAAGATATAGGAAGAACTTTTAAAACTCAACACCCCAAATGAATAATCCTATTAAAATGAGCAGAAGTTGTGATAGAAACTTTTCCAAAGAAGACATACAGATGGCTAACACACACAAGAAAAGCTGTTCAACATTCCTCACCATCAGGAAAATACAAATCAAAACTGTAACAAGATAGCACCTCACACCTGTCAGAATGACTAAAATGGACAACATAGGAAATAACAGGTATTGGCACGGATGTGGAGAAAAGGGAACCCTTGCCCACTGTTAGTGCCAATGCAAAGTGGCATTAAAGAAACAAAACAAAGAAGCAAAGGGGAAAAAAAAGAGGAAAACCAGGAAACAGATTCTTAACTATAGAAAACAAACATGATTACCAGAGGTTCCATGAGTGGGAGGATGGGTTAGTTGATGGGGATTAAGGAGTGCACTTGTGATGAGTTCCATTTGCTGTATGGAAATCTTTAATCACTGTTCTGTACATCTGAGACTAATATTGAACTGTATGTCAAGTAACTGGAATTTAAATTACAAAAGAGAGAAAAGTAAAAAACAAAACAAAAACAAACAAACAAACAAAAACCTAGGTTTCTTGAAGTCCTCTGCAGATTTGTATATCAAACAGTTGTATTTTGTAGAAAATATTGGCTAGCTCTTTTAAGTACCTGAACATTTAAAATACCATTTTAGGTGAAAATATTTATATACTGTATTATGTCCTATTCACTTAAGCAGTTTTTTTTTTTTTAAATAATGGGACACAATATTTGAAAGAAGCATTAATCCACACTCAGAAGACCAATATACTAGTTTTAGGTCTGCTACTGATAAGCTAGGTATCTTTGAGCAAGTTAATTCTCTTCAGGTTTTCTTTTTTATTACCTCTCCGAAAGTCTAGGTGATCTCAATATGAGGCATACTTTCTTGGAAAATGCTTTCTAAACCCTAAACACTTTAGAAGTGTTTGTTTTGGTTAGTGTTAGTGTTGTTATTATATAAGAAGAGCTTCAACTCTGTGATTCAATGCAATCTTTTCAGGATGACTGAGGGTCATCATTATAAACATCAGTTATTGTACTATATATTTGCTACTCTCAGAGCAATTAAAATTTGTAGCTATTGAGATTTTGCTTATACCTGCAATAAAATGGACTCATGGATTTTTAGTTCGTATATATTTGATTTTATAAGTGGTTCTTTATCTTTTCAGACTATCTGTATTTGTCAGTGGATCTGCCTAATGAAGTCCCTATCATTTCAATTAGTTCTTTGTAATCTTCTATGGTTTTGAGAACACACTAACCAAGCTAGTTATAACAGGGCTGAAATCTGACAAAAATGAGTAAAGACTGATTATTTTATTTTATTTGGAGAGGATATGTGTGGAAAAGGGGAAACATCTTATGGAACAAAATGTACAGTGTTTGGTTTATGGACTTTATGACATCCATTTTGTCTATTCAAGATTATTTTACTTTTTCTTGGCTCTGTCAGCTGTGTTTGGATAGTTGAGGTGCAACATATTTCAGTTCCAGATCACTGAGGTGTGACAAACTGTTTGACACCTAAAATTTCTTGGAATATAAATATTGCCAGAATTTATTTATTTATGTGCAGATATATGTATATAGAAAGATAGTTATACATACATTTATCAATAATTTTATATTTATATATTATATAAAATATATTTGTATATGGATTTATATATAATATCATATATAGAAATATGTGTATAATTTCAATAATATATATCAATTATATATAAAAGTCTATATGTTTGATATAAGTATTGCTATTCCAACTTTCTTTTGATATTATTATTATTATTTTTTAAAAGATTGTATTTATTTATTTGACAGAGAGAGACACAGCAAGAGAGGGAATACAGCAGAAGGTGTGGGAGAGGGAGAAGCAGGCTTCCCGC